CCTTCTTCAGATAGACTCAGAGTGCCACATCACACCTTGTTCTGGATCTATCAGTGAGTATCCTTCCTCCTATTTGATGCCTGATATTGTGAAAAGGCAGTGATAGGCCATCTAGCTAAACTCCTAAGGGTCATTAGTAACAAAGATGTAAAACTCAGGCAGATTCCTTCCTATCTGCTTTTTAGGAAGAAAGTTATTAGTAGGACAAATCCAAATAATAGGTTCGACTATGCTGCAGAAAGTAAAATTACCCAAGCCTTTCCTGAAATTTCACTACAAAAATATTGAATACAGCCCTGGCCAATGTAGTTCAGTTAGTTCGAGAGTCATCCATAGAGAGAAGGTCATGGATGCAATTTCTGGTCAGGGCACATACTCAGGTTGTATGTCTGTTGGGGAGTGTAAAGACAACAAATCAGTGTTTCTCACACTGATATTTTTTTACATCGATGTTTCTCTCTCTCTCTAATGAAAAAATGTCCTTGGCTGAGGACACTTTTTGTCCTTAGATGAGGATTTAAAAAAAAAAAAAGAAAGAAAAAAATGTGTTAAAAAACAGAATACTGGATATATCCCATTGTGTTAATAGTATATGAACAAAATTTGTAGGGTGCAAAACACAAGATAAATCTATCCTCACAATCTAAAATACTTGGTTTCCAGTAAAATCATATCTACTTCTTACAAACCTCTTATAATCACAAAAACAAATTTTACTTCTAAAGAAATAACGATTATATTCTCAAACTTTAAATATTAAATTGATCCAACTTAATATTTCAGTTCAAATATATTTGTCCATAACAATGGATAGATATAAGCAATAGTATATGTGAGCAAAACAGGAACAACTTATTACTGTTGAAGTATAAGCAGATGTTTTATGTGCCCCTTAATTCCATGTTTTATTCAGTGACTACACAATATTCCACAGTTCTGAGCCACACAGATTCTGCAAAGAAAGCACCCCCCTTCTTCTTCCCACTTCTATCTTTATTCATATTAGGGGCACTTTGGAAATAATTTGCAGAGTAAGAAAACTTATGGGAGAGCACAAATGACTATCCCTGACATCAGACAATTCCCAGATCCCCCAAAGTATGATGGTCAGGTTTATAAAATAAAAATACAGGAAACCCAGTTAAACTTAAACTTCAGATAAACAATGAACTTTTTAAAAATATATAAATATGTGCCAAATGTTGGCTTGGAGTGCACTAAAAATTAATTTGTTAATAGAAATTATTTATTACACTAAAAGCGTATTCTTAAGTTTATTCATTAAATGTAGTGCATCATAGTGTACTAACATCATTTTGCACTGAAAATTATCCATTGCTTATCAGAAATTCAAATTTAACTAAGCATCTTCTATTTTATCTGGAAATATTTATCAAAGAAAGATATTTTATAATTTCAATGCTTTTATCTCCTTTTAGACTGTGTGATCTCTTATGGTAGTGAAGGAGAAGCTCATACTCGAATGGTCAGCCCTCGAAAGAAATGCAGGATATATAATGCACACACAATCTGTTGAATAAAAAAAATGAATGCAAAGGCTGAATTTTAAAGACTGATATAGATAAATATCTATATCTACATATAGATATTTACTTTAAGGCTTATTTTGTTAGCATAGCTCAACACAATAATTATTGGGTTACCTCTTTGGCAACTGATTTGAGCAACGGCACAGCTATTATTCTCTTTTGGCTACGGCTGTGGCTATGTAGTGGATGGAAATGGACATAACCTTCTTTCTGCATGTGAGACCTCTGAATGCCCACTGAAATTTTGGTTACACTTGAGTTAACCACAGATCTGGCTGAAAACCAAGATGAAGACTTACTAGAAGGAATTAGGAATATTTAGGAATTCAAGATAGAGTTTATGTTAAAAAGCAAAGGACTCTATGACTCTTTCATAAATTGTCATTGGCATAGTCTGCATACCTTTCACTCTAAAATCCAAGATGATCAGTCCCCCAAAACCAACATGTTCATTAAGCTATCCAGAGACCATATATTTATTTTTTAAAGACTTTATTTATTTATTTTTAGAGAGGGGAAGGGAGGGAGAAAGAGAGGAAAACATCAATGGTTGCCTCTTGTGTGCCCCCTACTGGGGACCTGGCCTGCAACCCAGGCATGTGCCCTGACTGGGAATTGAACCAGCAACCTTTTGCTTCACAGTCCAGTGCTCAATCGACTGAGCCACACCAGCCAGGGCTTTTTTTTTTTATTTTTGAAAAACTAAAGTAGTCTCCCAGGGATGTACTCAACTCTGCATGTAAATACAAACTTCCAGGACTTAAATTTGATGGGCATGATAGAGTACAATGTAAATAAACTTTACCAGTACACACTCCATATATGTGTGTGTGTGTGTGTGTACATATGTATATATATATAAAACACATTATAGATTATAAAATATATGTCTAGAATATGTACAATATATAAATATATATTTATAAACATAAATATATAGGTCTATATCTATCTCTCTAGATAACTATAAATTGATCTATATATGGATAAATATATAATTATATATATAGATGATAGACTCAGATTCTAATGTGGTTTTACGGGTTTATAACTTGAAATCACAATAACTAATGAATATTAACCAGGTGACACATCTCAGAAATAACCATGACCCCAATAAGAGTGTGAAATGTTAGATACAATATGCTTTTGATTGTTCTGCCTTTCTGGTGCCTTCTCTTTTCCAAACCTGGGATATTTCAATGACTGATTTTTCAAAGACCTGAACCACCTGAGCATCCCACACCATCAACCCTCTCCAACACCATCAGATCCACATTGGGTGGTTCTCCAAGTCAGCTTTCCAGTGCTGTTACTCAGTCTCATAGAATTGGCTGCTGTCCTGCTCTCCATACAAATCTCAATAGCAACTTGACAGCTCTCTCAAGGTGGCTTCTATGCCTTCCTAGAAGAACGACAATAATTTTAACCGATAACTAAATTAGCAGAGACTACAGGATCTACCTGCCCTTTTCACCAGGGTAACCTTGAATTCAACAGTGCCATTGTTTTGTGATCAAATTCAAGGAGGGACTAGTAATGTGAATTTTTGGCCAAATAGAATGGAGAGTTAGGGTGATTACTATTATTGTTGAATTATTCTGGCAATGCAGTCAGGTAAATTTGATAGTTAAGACCCTATGGAACACCACACATGCCCCTGAGCAAAACTAGCTTCTAAACAGTTGAAATTCTTGGAAGTTCCTTTTGTGGTTCCCGCTTGATTAGTATATTTCATGTACAAGTTCTTGCGCTAGGAATCAATGTTTCCCATAGCCTGACCCCACTTAATCTCCTCAAATTTAATTCACAGTTTTTATAACACATGACTTTGCTTCTTTCATTCTTGCCCCCACACATTTTGACATCAATTTTCTTCCTGCTACTCCTCTTCAATTAACTACACATCTTTAGAAAGCCTCCTCTGCCTACTCCAGTCCGTATTATGCAGTTTCCGTAACCTCACAGTGCATTTCTAGTTTATATACACACTTGCTGTGTTGGAATTTTTCTTTTCCTCAGTGGAAACTGAGCAATCAACTCCCATTATAATTCTTCTCAAATTTGCAGCATTTCTCTTTCATTCATGGGAAGAATAAGATCAAGATTCGATTTCTTAATATTTATAGGAATTCCTGAATGAACATTCTAAATCGATTTGAAATTTTTTCCATGAATACAATCAATTTTTAAAGCAATATCAAATGGCATCACTGGTTCTCCACATTTAACCTGCAGTTTAGAGGCTGTGGATATTAGTGAGGCCAGGTGGTAACACTAGAAATACATTCAGCATGCAATTTTGTATGCAATAGGTTTCTTTAAAAATTTTTAAAGTAAAATACTATTTTTTTTTTGAGACAAGAACAGGACAGGGAGCACACACTGTCCAGATAACCTACATCAACTGGTTGCTAAGAATAAAAGCAATAAATCCACAACTCAATTTTCTGTGCCTTGGAGTGGACTTCTAGAAGGCTCCAAATTCGGTCCCACGTAAGTAGAAGAAAAACGTTCTTATATTTAAAAGATATATACATGAAAATCTTTGAAAAGTGCATGAATTTTCAGGGCGTTGCATTATCTTTTCATTTAGGCTTCAAGTTAATCCAACAAACATTTAGGGGACTTCCCTGGCTCTTTAAGCCGCCTCTGTGTGAGGAGCTGGGTTACAACAATAAATAAGGCAAACTCCCTGCCATCAAGGCGCTCACAGTGTAGATACGGACAGAAACTAGGAAGTACAGCGTGACGTTCCCAGCTCTGAGGCAGCAGAAGGCGTGCGCTATACTTCTTTCGTTATCCTTCAATCAAGCAATTAAAAAATCTACCCGTGCGTACCATTTTAGAGTTGAAGTTCCTCTAAATGCTTTGCAGAGCAGGACAAGTTGATCGGAGTTTGGAGAAGGAGCAGGGACTAACTGGCCACCCAATCAGGGAGGGAGATTATTTGTGATTAACGGAGTCTGGAACGACTTCGGTGATTTGGAAAACGGAAAGAAAAAGAAAGGGACACTCAGTTTATCCAGGTTTCCCCACCACGTTCTGACTGAATCCACTAAGCATCGCAGAGAGGACAATAAAGTGAAAAACATTTCCAAGAGTGAACCCCAAACGTCAGTCTCTGGCTGTGAGGGACAATCTCTGGCCTCTTCCAATAAGATGAAGGAGCCTCAATGAAGAGACTTCGCGAAGATTCTAAACGCCAGCAGGTTCCATTCACTCCTGGACAGGAAAGCCCCTGGCAAGGGTCGTGGAGAGGGCTGTTGTCCTGGGAACCACTAAACAGAACCCTTAGCGTTAGCCGCACCCTTCCGGCCCCGGCGCGCGCTCCCCGGGCAACGCGCGCGCGACGCCCCGCCCCCGCCCCGCCTCTGGCCCCGCCCCTGGCCCCGCCCCTGTCGTGCCCAGCTGCGCGCACGGGCCCTTGCAGCGCGCACCCGCCACTCAGGCGCCGCTGCGCTCGAATCGTGGAGACCGCGGTCGCCGAAGCCAGCCAGCTAAGGGGACCGACGACTCCGGGCTGCCCGCTGACAGGCGCCTCGGCTAGTGGCTCCGGTTCCCACGACCACCACCGCGCGTCCTTTTCTCGATTAATATTCTCTCTCCCTCCCTCCCTCTCTCTCTGTCTCTCACCCACCCACCCACACAATCTGACATCAATCTATACATTGGAGGAGAAAGCATTTCCTTTGCTCCCTCGCCCTCTGCACCCCCAGAACTGAACAGTGGTGGGGACCCCTTGGACCGACTGGAAATGTTAATCCTGGCGCGCTTCCTCGCTTGCATTCAGCTCCTCTGTGTTTGCCGTCTGGGTGAGTGACGAAACCTCGGTGGGTTTGCCTCTCGGGATCATTCGGGACAGGGGTGGGAGACTTCAGAGCATTTAGGTACTTGCTGGCGCCCCCGCCATCTAGCAGGGAGGAAAAAGGGACAGTGAACTGGGACCCCGCGGGGTCCGCGGCGGCACATGGGTGTCAGCGGCATGGGAGAATGCGCTTCCTCCCCACGTCTCACCTCCACCACCTTCTGTCTGCCCGCGGGGATTCGCGCTCCCACGCGCAGAGGAGGGAGGTTGGGCAATCGCCCTCCCTGTCCCCACGGCTCCTCTCCTCTTTTACAAAGAGTGGAAAGAGCCTGTTCGGTACACACAAAAAGATAAATACAAATAGAAATACAACCAGAAATACAGCCGTGGGACCAGGGTGTGGGGCTCCATACACATCGCATTTTTCTAAGGTCTTGCTACCGATATTATCGGTTGAATGAAAAATACACGTGCATGGTGTTAATTACACACACATACACGTACATACACATACACATACATACACACAGCACCTGAAAGGAGGTAACGGGAACAAGCATCAACATGACTTTTCAGTGTTTTTTAGTACTTTTAATTTAGTCAGGTTCAAGTCTGGGCAGTTACTTTAAAAAAAGTTTCAATAAGAATTTCTGTCAACATTCTTCTACTGGTGCCAAAGTCAGAAGCTACAGGTTGATGTATTTATATTCATGGATTTATCTTTCAGCCACCACCTTTTAGGTTACACATTTAATACTGAAATTACAGTCAGAAATAGCCAGTTAAAATAGTTACCTGGGACACAGGTTCATGTTCTGGTCATTTTCCAGAGGAATTGTAAGATTGATTTTTGCATTTTATAAAGAAATATATTTTCCTTTAGGAAGTTTTGCTATTATGATGGAATATTATAGATTTGGTCGCATGCACTGAAAGTTAGCAAATGTACCTCCATTTATGAGTACACACACTCTTTTCAGTTAGAGGATAACAGTTTTTTAAAATTTTAGATTCTCTGTAATAAAGTAGATATTAACCTACATTTTATCCAATAGATGGTGCTGCAGTTGGCACAGTAACCTTTACAAAAAGAAATCATTTTTATATTCTAACTAATTAGAATTGTATTGCAAATATGGAGGTAATTGCGGATAGCCCCCAGATACATGGACATAATTTAAATTACAGAAGCTTTTTGGAAGTACTCAAGGGTGATGTGATGCACACAGTGACATTTAAGACTTGCAGAGGTTTCTGGTTCCTGTTTTCTCTAAAATCATACAGGTTTTGATTCTGGAGAAGTGAAGACATTCTTTAAAAGAGTTGTGGTCATCAGACACACACCTGTTGAATTTACATTTCCACTGTTGATCTGTTTTAACAACAAAACCAGATCTCCTTGGTACTTAGATTATTATTTAAAGTAAATCACTGTAGTTTGGAAATAAGTCAGGAAATATTGCTTTGTATGCCTTCTGAAACACATGCCCTGGGTATATTGCAAATTAAAAAAAAATTGAGGTATAATTTGCATGGCATACAATTCACCTTTTTTAAACTATACAATTCAGTAGTTTTTGGTGTTTTCACAAAACTGTGCAACCATCACCACTAATTACAGAACATTTTAATCACCCCCAAAATAAACTCCATTAACAATCATTCCTCATTCTCTTGACCCCAGCCCTGGCAACCATCAGTCTAGTTTTTTTCCTACAGATTTGCCTATCCTGAGAGGTTCATATAAATGCGGTCATACAACGTGTAGCCTTTGGTGTCTGGCTTTGCTCACTCAGCATAATGTTTGAAAGATTCATCCATGTCGTAGCCTGTATCAGCACTTCATTCCTTTTTGTGGCTGAATGATATTTCATTCCAACATGCCACATTTTGCAAATTCTCAATAAAGTATTACTTATAGCTTGTTTTTGGTTATTTAGATTTTAGTTTACTGGACATTAATGCTTTGATGATGTAAAATTTAACCGTAAAAGATTAAATTACTTGTTTAAGCATATCACAAATTTATGTGATGGTACTGAGTATATCAGAACTCAAATTTAAATTTTAAAAAAAGGTGGAAGCAAGGGAGGGTGGTGGGTTTGGAGGGGTTTGGAGGAGGGGTGGGGAGAAAATATGGACAACTGTAATTGAACAATAAAATAATTTAAATTAAAAAATAATAAAGGACTGACATAGGAAAAAATAACTCAAATTCTCTGGGGGTGGTTGTTTTGTTCTGTTCTTGTTTTTGTTTTTAAGACTGGCAGGTGACTACTTTTTTATCCATTCCCCATTTTTACCAAGTTGGCCTTTTATAGTGTCACCTACAGGCTGACATAGGAGCCTTGGCAACCTCAACTGGGATGAATGTCTTGATCTTAGGTAGCACATTTTGAAAAACTGAGACATGTTATCTAGAAGTGAAAAACCCAGCCTCTACTTCAATTTTCTTTCTCTCGACATCTGCTCTAGAATTCTCGGGTGTGTTCATTATTCCTCTTCAGTGTCATCAGAGTCAATGAGAAGCTCCAAGGTGTCCTGACTTAATATTATTTTTAAAAAATCACATGAGTAACAACATTTAATGCTATTCAGCTGAAGGACATTCTTAAGAGAGGCAGACATTAAAAATGACTAACTCCAAGATAATTCCTTAAGTGAATTTGGACCTTCTCTAAAATAATTGAGAGGTTTTCTACTAGGTGGAGAACTAATGAAATGACTGTATGACTCTAATTATTATTTAATCTTGACCCACTAAACAGGTAATGGGAAAAACTGCAGTGGCTTTCCAGTAAGAAGGCTTACCTGTGAGTCATAGAAGGGAGGTGGCCGTTTCAAGAGTTTTAAGGGATTTTTTTTTTTCAACTACTGAGAATTCAGGATCTTTGAATTGAGTTGTAGCCCTGCAAGGTACACAAAATTCAAATATTTTAATATTCTTGTTAAATATGTAATAAATCAGGTTTTGAACTTTTGTTATGTCTTATTGCTTTAAGGGCCACATTAACTACAAATTATCCCCAGTTCCTCTGCAAGAATTAATTGCTTAGTTTATTCTGATTATGGAATTGGTAGAACCAAGCATGTTGTGACTTCCAGCTTTGTCTATTTAAACTCCCAAAATAAAGTTTAACCAGAAATAGAAAATATTATGACCCCCCCCCAAATAACTAGTTTCCACTTAGAGAAGATTAATTACTTTTGTGTTGCAGATTAGCAAATTTTTTATTTCATCTCTCCATTTTGTGTAGACTGTGCTTGCTCCATTCAGGGACATTTCCCAGGATAAAGTGTTTCATTGGTGAATTTATTTTTGCTTTCATGTCTGCACTAGAGATTTGGGAATTTGCTTAAAATTTTATGTTGTGGGAATTTTGCTTCTGGCAAAAATTCATTCTGATTTCTTGGGAAGCATAAGCTGTGTTTTCCCATTTCTCTTAAGAGATTGGAGTTATGTCCAACCTGGTAACTTTGCTTGAGCACCATTTGCCAACTTTGGAGACTGTAGAATGGAAATGGAATCCCTCATTCAGGACCAGAGGACTTCAAAGGAAAGGCTGATTAAGAAGATGAGCTTGTGTTTTATTTCCATATACCATCCATACGGAGTTTGCTAGGTGCACGGCCAGTGCTGAAATGTATGCCTGTGTATTTTTTTCTCATTTCATTCTCCCCAAATCCCTTTGACGTAGATGTTTTCATTTTACATGTTTTACAGCAGAGGAAACTGAGGTGCAGAAAACTGAGGTACAGAGAAGTCAACTGACTTACCTAACAGCACACAGCCTGTCTCAGCCTATACGTCCCTTGTGACTTCCAAGCATCAGCCTTTTCTCCTTTCATTCCCAGGAGGTCACTTTCCTATTAGAATTTACTAGCTGGGTTCGTATGTTGCTTTCTGCGGATCTCCATTCATGACTTTTCTACACACTCCCATATGGCAAAAATCCGGCAGTTTCTTCCAACGACCCAACCTCCACTGGTTTTTACAGCCAGAGGTAACTGGGATCTGACTTCCCAGTGCTGGAACCTGGTGCTGTGTGGCCTGGGGCTGGGATTGCTTGCCCCGAAGGTACCCCTCCTGCCCTGCTGCTGCCTCTCCGTCCATCTCTGCCACTCTGCCCCTTCCACCTGTTTGGATGAATGTGTCTTCTTTAAATCCTTGGTTGTTGGACTTTCATACAACTCAATTTTGTGACAGTTCTGGCAATATTAGTTTTGAAATCTGGTTGTAATTTTTTCTATGATTGTTGAGTGAGGAGGCAAAGCATGTCTACCTATGCTTTCATCTTGACTGGAAGTCTAAATCTCACTTTTAAGATGCTTTGTTTAGAACTAGTTGAGAATAAATATCTTGCCCAAATATCTGCCCAAATGTGTTAAATACCTTACCTTTCAATTGTCTTTAACTTTTATTTTTTTACTAGAAGGAATGCTTAGCAGCAACTTCAGGTTACAAAAGAAAACCAGTTTTTGTCTGTGTTTGTAATTGTTCAGAGACATATATGATATACTGTATTAAAGGGAAATTTTATAATATTGCACAGTCCTAAAACTCTTCAATTTTAGAACTGTTCTGTCCAATATCATAGCCACTAACCCTATGTGGCTATTTAAGTTTACATTTATTAAAATAAATTAATTCACTTCCTCAGTCACATTTTAGGCTGGTGGCTTCTGCATGGGACAGCCCAGATAGAGAAAATTTCTATCACTGCACAAAGTCTCTTGGATAGCACTGTTTTAGAGTCAAAAAGGCTGCTAAAGTATTACTGGTACTTAAAAAAAACTTCACCCAAGGGTATATTTATTGATTTTAGAAAGAGAGAAGAAAGGAGAGGGAAAAAACATCAATGTGAGAAACATCAATTAGTTAGTTGCCTCCCACACGCACCCTGAACAGGATCTAACCCACAGTCTAGGTATGTGCCCTGACCAGGAATCCAACCTGCAACTTTGTGTGTGTGTGTGTGTGTGTGTACAGGATGATGCTCCAACTAA